GTCCTTCCATGGCTAGTGCAGAAATGAAGATTTTGGAAGCAGAAAAGCTACACCAACCAATAATTCCAGCAGTGAGAATGACTCCGACCATCCCTCTGGAACCAGCCAAGAAAACGCAGGGACAAAAAGAGCAATACAAGAGATTAGTTACACACGATGACTGTATAACCCCCCGTTACGTGAACGTAAAAACCCTGTGATTTCAAAAGAAAAACAATTTAAAATCAACTTTTGGACAACTGGAGGAATAATCAGGTAGTTGTCTTTTGCTAAAATGTACCCACAGTAAACTCAATGATGCAGAATCGTATCGTGTAACAAAAACTTTTGCATAGTCTCATTTCACTTCTAGGGCTGAGGGTTTCCCAACGGCTACACCACTGACATCTGGCCTGGATAATTCTTGATTGTGAGGCTGTGCTGGGCCAGTCAGGAGGCTTACCATCATCTCTGGCCTCCACCCACTGCAGGACCATTGCTCTCCTCCAGCTGTAGCATCCAAAACTATGCGTACATACTATCTCCATATCTCCCTAGGGGCAAAGTCGCACTCTGCTCAGAAACACTGATTTAGTAGAAAATAGGTTCCCCTGTAAATTCAATTAAAAAGCTACCAAAATTCTTAACAAATTAGTTAGTGGGGTAGTACGAAGGGGCTTCAAAATGTTCATGGGAAAATTCTATCTATTCAATTTTTCCACAAACTTTTAGAAATCCCCTCTGAAGCTTGTGTGCTGGAAATGTAAACCATTTTAATCCAAAGCAACAATTCCGAAAAAACAATGCCCTTCTGATACTTCTAGTATCAGAACCAGAGTTAAGGTGTGCTTTTCTCTGAAAGCTCTAAGTTTTCTGTGAGCTGGAATGTACTTGACAGCAATGGGTAAGGATTTTGGTGCTGCTGTTCAAATATACCACAACCCGTTTGCAACTTGTGTAAGCAGACACTGGGCGGAGCTTGACTATTAAAGAGGAGCTGCACACTCGGCACAAGGAGGAACTTTATGAAAACTCTAACATGCTTCTTTTTCATCTCACCCAAATTATTTCCGAATTATACACAGTAAAGGCTGCTTACATTTGTCAACATGGTAGGCAGATAACAGCCTCCTGCATAAGAAGGCTAGATTTGAGTTTCATCAGTTAAAACGCTGCCAAGTAGAGAAATTATTTATTATTCATGCATTTACCTTTTGCCCAATGTCTAAGCCAAATTTAGTCAAAAACTATTGAGGGGTAAGTATTGTATAGGTATAATACCCATACCTCTATCACAGGTAAAAACAGCAAAGACATAAAATATCTTTAGATTTGTTCTCATTTTTCATTCTACATTATCTTAAAAAATCTAGCATAGTCCTCACTCACGACAGGTATTTTGTGACATATTTTCAATCAATGATTTATTCCCTGAGGGTGCAAAGAGAATCATATTATATAGCATTGGTCAATCAATCCCCAAAATACAAGACAATACTTACTGCAGAGAAAATATTACTGCAAAGCTGGAAAGTAGGATCATGGGAAGAAGGCAATATCCAAGGACACTTGCCACGCAACCAAATGAAACACCGGTCATACTCATTAGATTTAATAAACAAAACATTCCTAAACATCCAATTGCACTGATCCCATACACATAGCCAAACTGGATCTTGCCAGCCTATAGGGAAAGAAAGGAATACAGGTTAAAAGGAATACAGGTTAAAAGGTAAATCGCACTTTTTTGGGGGATGTAATTCACTTAAAAATGAAACATGTAGAAAATCATCAGTGAGAACCTATCTAAGACCAGGATCCCTACACAGGGATCTGATCTTCTATATGTAATACAGTAAAAGGCTGAACAATTGCCTTACACAGTCTTCTTCAGAAATCTAAAATATCACCTTCCAATATTCAGATACTTAATTTTCAATTTCCCAGCTAGCATTTGAATGTGGTGTAAACTTGAATAAAGAGGTAAAATCACGGCAAAACCCCCTAGAGTAGGTGATTCCCTAGAAGAACACTGATTCCAAGCAAAAATTCTAGAGACAAGCTAGTCATTCTGAGTGATTGGTTCATAGTTAATATCACTTCAAAGAACCTAATCCCACCAATCATCGCAAAGCAAATTGTTCTCATTTGTAGATGGAGGCACCATCTCATTAAAAACAGAAATAACTTTGTCATTTGCTTTACAGGGGTGATGGAGGAGCGAGGAGAAAAGCAGTCTGGAAAAGCTGGAACCTGGTTTTGTGGAGACAAACCCCCCCCACCCCCAAAACTGATTAGAAAGCAGGCTGGAGGGACACAATAATGGAAGATAGCTTTGTTTTGCATTATGTTTCGGTTGATTTACACAGACCTCAAGCCTAAAAACAAAACAGTAATTTTGCTCTTGTGAGAAGCAAGGACAGCACAGCAGATGTTGGAACTAACTTACTTAGTCAAGATATGGACAAAGAAACATTTAACTCAAGTCATGTACTAAAACAGAAAAACCTTCACAAAATTCCTCTTGTGTCACATTTTCTTTTAGCCACACAAACCTCAATGGCAAGAATGTTTCTATAGATAATGTCAAGTGAGAAAAAATTTTAAAACTCAATGTTTTATTTGCAGATATGTGATCATGAGTACTGGGTTTTTAAAAGTTCAGCTGAGTTCACTGATGAATGTAGCCATAATCCTCATAAAACCTCATACCTGTAACAATTCAACTCACTGACATCAAGTCAAGCCGGACTCAGTACAGCTAAAGCTGGCTCCCAGGCTATCCTGTTAGGTGGGCAGCACAGGATTACTATCACTCAAGGTGGGGCTGGATGATTAAACGGCTTGTTCAAAAATAAGTGAACTGAGCTCAAATCCAGCTTTTCTAACTAAAAAGACTCTCATCTTCTATGCACTATGGTACTTGTCTTCTGTATTTCAGATATGTAAGATAAAAATTAAAAAAAATATTAACAGCTATCTTTATAACCAAGAAACAAACAAAGTTCTATCATTTGATGATATGCTTTAAGATTCTTGGGAGAAGAAATAAATTCTGTTGTCCTCCAATATTTTAGTTTATTAAAAGATAATATATAAAATAACCACTGTAAGAAAATACAATCCCAAGGTCTAGATTAAAACACACACACAAGCAACTAAATACTATTCAAAACACATTAAAGACTTTTGATAAACTTATTCTCAAAATGCATTTTAATGAAAATTAAGACTCTCTTCTTTAATAATATACTGAAACGTGAAACTATAGTCTTACCAGTAACAAAGTAGCTCCAAAGGCAAGGCAAAAAACCATTGGTCCTGCCAAATCGGTCTCATTCATGATGCTGCCGTCAGCTACTTTTAATGGATGCAACACTGTGAGCGTCTTTTGCCAGATGTGGTCAAAATTGATACCTAACTCTGAGAGAAAAGAAAAATACGGCAAATCATTAGGATTGGTAACATGCCTTTAATTTACCAGAACCTACATATGAACAGGAGACAAGGTGAAAAAGCACTAGAAATAGGTAATGCAATACTGAATTATATTATTTTATTAGGTCCCTCAGTGTTAGTTATGACTGTGATGTTCATCCTACCAATAACCAATCTCTAGTTTAGTGCTAGTAAAGGGCAAAGGTATGATGAAAAGAACGCACGCCACCTTTCCGCTCTGTCTCTTTAACAAACTAGCGTCAGGAGCACCCGACAGCCCTCTGAAAAGGTACCTGCACCATGTCTCCATGCACATGTGTGCACTGTTTTCAGGCAACACCCACTGATCTCATTGGACTTGTCAAAGGCAATCAGAACAAAATTATTTTCCCCACAGAACTACTTCATTTCAGATTTTTCAAGTTTGTTGGAATATAATTTGAAAACTATAATTTTCAATAATGTCCCTAGTTCTGCAAGCTTATTTCCATGTAATTATATTGACATCCTATATTGTAATTTTATAAAAGCCCTACTCTAAGGAGTCCTGGTAGCACAGTGGTTAACACTTGGCTGCTAACCAAAATGTCAGTAACTCAAACCCACCCACTGGCTAGCTCTGTAGGAAAGATGTAGTAGTCTACTTCTCATGGGGGAGTTCTATTCTGCCCCATTTGCAATGAATCAAACAGACTTAATGGCTACAGGCTTGAGTGCGGAGTGGAGTGGACACCCAAAACCCATTTGTAGGCCACTGGACGTCCCCTTACAGAAGGGTCTCGGGGAGGAGACGAGCCAGTCAGGGTGCGATGTAGCAACGACGAAACATACAACTTTCCTCTAGTTCCTAAATACTTCCTCCCCCGCCCACTATCATGATCCCAATTCTACATTACAAATCTGGCTAGACCAGAGGATGTACACTGGTACAGATAGGAACTGGAAACACAGGGAATCCAGGATGGACGATCCCTTCAGGACCAGTGGTGTGAGTGGCGATACCAGGAGGGTAGAGGGAGGGTAGGTTGGAAAAGGGGGAACCCATTATAAGGATCTACATATAAACTGGTCCCTGGGGGAAGGACAACAGAAAAGTGGGTGAAGGTAGACTTCAGACAGGGCAAGATATGACAAAATAATAATTTATAAATTATCAAGGGTTCATGAGGGAGGGGGGAGTTGGGAGGCAGGGGAAAAAATGAGGACCTGATGCCAGGGGCTTAAGTGGAGAGCAAATGTTTTGAGAATGATGAGGGCAATGAATGTACAAATGTGCTTTACACAATTGATGTATTATGGATTGTGATAAGAGTTGTCTGAGTCCCTAATAAAATGATTAAAACAATAAAATAAAATTTTAAAAAGAAAAAAAAATCTGATCCTCTTTTGTCCTATGTGGTTTCACATACATTGCTCAAAATAGGTCACTGAGAAAACTTTTCTACATGATTATTCTTTTAAAGGAAGGTCGATTTCTCCAAATTGGGATTTGTCTTAGATACTAAATCTAGAGCCCTGGGGTAAATTCCATTGTATAGCAACGTTACAAAAATCAAACTAAACTCGACGCCCTCGAGTGCATTCTGACTCAGGGCAGAATTAAGGGAGTAAAAAGCCTCATCTTTTTCCCAGAGTGGCTAGTGGTTTGGAGCTGCTGAGCTTGTGGTTAGCAGCCCAATGCATAACCACTGTGAACTAAAACTGCTTGCGATGGTTTCTGAAGACATAAATCTTTACAGAAGTAAACTTTCTCCCATGGAGTGGTGGTCGGTTTCAATATGCCAATCTTCTGGCTAGTATACTGATGCTTAACTTACCACACCACAGGTCTTTAATCTACATGTTACAGAATAATATGCAGTATGGAAACCAATTCTACCTTCTAATAAAGGTGGCTCATCTTCAAAGTTGTTTCCATAGAATGACTGAGGTGTGGTTGGGGTATATGTCTGAGCTGGCTGGAAAATCTGCCCAGTATATGGCTGCTGTGGCTGTATCATCTCTGGAGGGACAAATTGGCCGTGCTGAGAGTAGTCATAGCCACCATACTGTCTGTAAATCAAAAGAAGTTACATTAACCAGAAGTACCTTGCCCTCTGACAGCATAAATTCCTTAATTTACAAGATCTTCCTTTGGGTAGCTAAGGACTATTAGTCATGCCACCCTAGAAAAGGCATTGTCAGTTTCTAAAGTAGAACTTTAAGTGATTACTAAAATCAAGCTAATTGGCTACAATAAAATACTGCCTGGTTATATACAGAACTTGCCCATGAAGTCAACACTCATTCATATAGCACTTACAACTACTAAATAAGAACACAGTTGGGGAGTCAACAAGTGAAGACTTAACAATCTTGTAATTTTTATTCCTTAATTCGAATACTTAATACATGCATACTAAGCTATAAAACAAAAATCAGGAAAGCTTAGGATAACATATCCTTTGTAGTACACATTATATAAGTTTCATTATTATTTAGGTACTTGATTAGTACAGTATGTGACACTGCTCAATGAATAAAGAAACTCGAGTTGATGTCCAAAAGCTGGCTGAAGACTGTATAAATACTACTGACAAAATAGCTGGGATTTCACATGGCTTGGCATTTTAATTTTAAGAGAAGTTCCTGGCCTCAGCAAGGTGCTTGGCACAGGTACCCAAAGCATTAGGTAAAGCTCAGATAGCTCAAAAGAGTTTACGTTTTCCATCAGGATTGTAAGCAAGATCAGAGCTAACAAGGATGATTTTATGAACCAAAACATAACCAGGGAAAGTCTTGCATTTACCAACACAATAGAGAAAGCAGCACCCAATCAAAACAGTGGTTTCTGAGGTGATCTGTGAGGCCAGATAAATTAAGCCAGAAAGATCAATACAGAAGGTTATAGGGCTGTTTGGGGAAGGTTCCTATGGGAAACTCTTGATAGATTTATTCAAAGGATATAGGATGATCACAGGGGCTTATTACGATCACAGGGGCTTATTATGAAGTTGTAAGAAAGCTGAAAATTGCATTTAAAAAAAAAGGGGGCCAGGGAAACTGTGCCGAGGACTTTTGCTCCATCATGAAAATGAAATGCACCTGCTTTTATCACGGTGGCAAAAGTTGCCCGACAAGAATGCCATTGAGAAACGTTACTGCACCCACCCTGCAGCCCTGCTCTTGCTCTTTCAGATGTTCTACTTTGCAAAACCCAAAGAGTACGTCAAAGGAACACAATTTGATTCCCTTGAGGATGCCTAATCTGGTAATTGGATGTGGTGTCAATTAAAGAGGACAGAATTCTCTGGGGAATGGAAATACTGCTATCAGAAATATATAAATCTAGATGGATGTACAGAAACAACAGCTTCACATTTTGATATTTGTGTTTAATAAAGTTTTCTATGATTTTTCAGCCATTCTTTTTTACTTTGTACAACGTGTATTTAAATAATGCTTTAATTTCTTAATGTAGTGTACACCTACTGTCTCATCTGAGCAAAATTTTCATAAAGCCTATATTTTAGAAGGATAGCTTTACCACCATGGTTATGTAAGTAATGTCAAAGACAAGTACGAACAAAATGGTATGAAAGCCTTATCTTTAAAATTCCTGTTTCACCATGTTCTACAGAAATATGGCTTCTCCAAACGGAATGGATGAATTCAAATACTACATAGTAAGTACAGAAGGAAAATACTACTCAAAATTGAAAGCTAATAAGTCTTAAGGTTCTTTAGTCTTAATAGCCTTTCAAAGATGTTCCCTTTGATAGATATAAAAATCTAATGACCTGCATTAACACTTTAAATTTTAAAATTAAATGTAATCCTTAAGCATCCTGCCTACAGGCAAATCAAAGCAACAGTAAATGTTCAGCAACACAAAGCCCTTGTAGGTTCCAAAGTGATTTCGAGACTACTCCCACTAATCTTAATACATTCTTAAACACAGTAACATTTCCTGGGTATCAAGTAACATTAAATTAATGGATGCATTATTTTATTAGAAACACTTCAAAAGAAACAATAACAATAAAAATAGCAATCAATAAATGTACTGTAATTTAGGTATACAAATTAACATGCACCTGTTAAAGAAATGAGTAGTTTTATGTGTACTGACAAGGAATCATATTCACGAAATACTCAGTGGGGCAAAAGGAATGCTTGAAATTATGCATATTATATACAGTCATCGTGTATTTTATTATACAGTAATATGCTGAGGACAGCTGTGGGACTATACACAAGAAATTTGAGGGAACATGAAAACAGGGTAAGGGAGAAGATATCATTTGTATCTTATAAACTTTTAAGCATTGAAGATGTACTTTTAATTTACTAAAATTAATTATAAAATATATGTAATATATATTAACTATCCAAAAATTTCAAAAACATACCTCATGTATTATGCTCACTACAATCCTAGGAAATCATTATTATTGTCCTCCCTATTGTACATGTGAAAACTGGAAATTAGGTTTAAAATGATTTGCCCATGGTGGTAGCAGGATTCAGAACTAGGTTGTCTGACTCCAGATATTAACACAACAATTTTAATAGTTGGTGGAATTAGGACAAGAGCTCACATTTCTTGATTTAGAACAAAATGTTATCCAGCTAGAATTTATTAAAGAAACCACTTTGTAGTTTACGAAGCAGCTAGAAAAGCTCCACAAAGATTCCACTCTGCATGAACAAGGTGGATTCCTTTCCGTGAAAGAATGAGAGACAAACAGGGAGAAGGTCTGTCTTGTCAGCTGTTACTTCAAGTAAAAGTGACCACTGTGTCTCACAACTCTAACAGTTATACAGGTACTTCCCCCAGATGATTTGCATTTTGCCACACATAATATTAAACAGATGCTTAAGCAATGGGCTGGGATTCAATAAAACTATAATTCTTGCTATTTCATCAAAGACAAGTGCATGGTGGTAAAGCATACAACGACTACTAGAACAATTTGATGTCACTGTATTCTGCCATATTCAGGTACCAGCTGTTTTACCAAGCATCACTTTTACATAGCTACAAAATTAGGTCTCGAAACTAATTAGAACAAGATGACTTAGTTTTGTTATGCAAAGAGCTCTGAATTCAAGTACCCCTAACAAATCTCAAAGCATCCTCTGGGGTCTGCAGTGTTTTGGGAGCTGTTTATGTAGATCTATAAATCTTACATGGCAAAGAGACATACTGTAAATAAACGACAATTTTACATGTGGCAACATCCTTTCATCTTTAAAGGGCAAAAATGAAAAACCACATTATTATAACACCATAAAATTCAACTATTTTTAATTCCTGAAAGCATTCAATACTCACTGCCATCAAGTTGATACCACTAAAAGCGACCCCATAGGACAGGGTACAATTGTCCCTGTGCTTAGCAGTTGGTGGTTTCGAACTGCTGACTCCAAACACTTAAACCACTCTACACCAACAAACTCACTGGTTTTAAACTAAAATATGGTGTGGCAGATACAATTTTTCAGGGGCCCTCGTGGCACAAAGTGCTTCGGTGCTAACTGAAAGGTTGACTTTGAAATCCCAGTGACTCCACAGGGGAAAGGCCTGATAGTTTGTTCCTATAAAGACTGCAACGTAAACTACAAACCCCTTTGCAGAAAAAAAAGACAATTAAAAACTTGTACAGTAACCCACAATCAAAAATAAAGTACAGGTATCTGCTTTTGCAGCCCCCTGGATCATTCCAGAGTCCCCCAGAGGGGGCACTGGAAAACACTGGCCTAGAAAACCTGATGCAACAAGACCCTTCTACCCTGTCCTGTGGAGTCATTATGAATTGAAATTGACTGCAGGGTAGCTAACCAGAAGACAAGATCTTTACAGATTGAACACGTTTTTGAAAAACACTCATAGATTACAAAAGACCTAAAAGTCTCCTAACACATTGGGCAGCTACCATCATTCATCTTCACATAGGATATTATCAGCTCAAAGTTAAAAAAAAATACATTTCAGAACTAAAATATATATATATATGCAACTTGTATTATTACACCTAATGGAAGCTGCAAGAAGGTATGGAAAACTGGAATTAAAAGATAGTGAAAAACTTCTATAAACTTTCTGAAGTCCTCTTGGGCCTGATGTAACACAGCATTCTTAGAACTCAATCTTCTCTGATAAAATTTTGAACACTAGGGACGTTTTTGCTTTGTAGTCTGTGGGAAATAGACAAATGTGTGAGTGTAAAGCACCAGAGGAAGCCATGCACAATGTTAAAACCAAATTTTGGGGTGGTAAATATGCAGTATTCCAAACTCATCATCATATAAAACTTACATGACAATCTAAGTCGTGTTATTTGAATCTAAATTTTCATTAAAGGGTGAGCTAAAGTATTACTGGAAACACTGAGCTACTTTTACATCACGGCACACCTGAAGATTTTCCAAATGCTTCCACGCAGTAAACAGGGCAAGAGTTTCAAACTCACACCAGTTTCCCAGAACTTTTCCAAAAATGTAAGGAAGACCATGAATATTCCCATTCTTGATATTGAGTTCACATTTATAATCCTTGGAAGCAATATATACTCACGTGTACATGATTTCACTACAATTGAAACTAAATAAACTTCTAAAGTCGAAACATTACTTGCTATAGGGTCCTCCACTTCCACCATAGTCATAGGACTGCTGTGATTGGTCATCGATGCTGTAACTCGTCTGGTAGAAATCCGTGTTGATATTATCGAAGCCTGACATTGCCAAGGATCTGCAACAGAAGGCAAAGGGTTACTTTACATCCTGGATCCTCCTGAAAGCTTTCCT